CTTCAATCCTATTCAGGTTTTGATTAAAGAAAAAATTCATATGCTTCAACAAACTGCTTTCAGGAAAAAACGACTTGAAGAGGCTATGCATCGTCTACACTATGCTCAAGCAAAGATCGACATGCTTTTGACGGAGCAATCACTGTTAGGTAATTCACAGTTGATTTCATATTCAAACAATCTGCTCTGGTTTCAAGATTTCCACGAAAGATTCCTCTCCATTAAGAGTCAAATATTATTGTCTGAAGCTCGTATCCATAGAAGAGAAGGTCATTTGGATTCAGCTGTATCAGCTTGTCATCATGCTGCTAGCATAGCTGACAATAACGATTTATTATTTGAGGTTTTTCTTGGCTTAAAAGTGATATAATAATATTTTTATTTGAGATTCTTCTTCTTCGTGCCAAATGTAATTTCGACCGTCATGATGTAGATCGTGCACGAGCTGATGCTTCTGCTGCCACCCAACTTAAGCCTACTTGTGATGAAGCGCGACATCTGTTGAACACGCTACAGTTGCCTTCTACAGATATTTCTCGATTATAGAAGTTTCATGGAGTTATTTGAAGAAAGGCATTTCATGTTCGTGAGGAAAACCACGAAACGGGTTATGTATAATACGGATTCAAAAGAAAATAAAGATTATTTACCTCATGTACGATACTCATATAGACAATAACGAAGAACTTTCTACCTATTCACAACATCGTTTGAAAACCTTCAGAATATGAATTTGTTGACAAATAAAATGAATTTCCTGTCTTAAGCCTTCCTATACCTCCAGTTTAAAAGGTATAAGATGAGCTTAATTTCCCACAAATTAGACAAAAGTGAGCTAGAAGGGGTGGGGCTAGTACTGGAGGGAGGAGAGGGGGGGGGGTTGCGTGAGAAACACGATATATTTCGCAATATTATTTTTATGGTTGTGTTAATTACCTCAACGAATATTAATTGTATTCATAGATGTCTAAATCAAGACGTATACATGATGTCCCAGACGACATTTTCCTCACCTTCAATAGCAGACTTTTTGGAGTAGAGAAGGCACCCGTTAAAATTTCAAAAGACGAGCAGGAATGGCTACTAAATTCATCAGTCTTTGGTACAGCAATGTACGAGAGCAAGCTATTTTTCTCCTTTTTTTATGGCTTCTGGCCAAACTCGGAAGTCTACCACTTGGATGACGTTATGGGAAAATGTTTGAATCATCGCCGTTGTGCTGAATTAAGTTTATTTCGATTGATTTCAGGTTTAAGAGCGACAAGGGACTTGGAAAAGAACGATTTGATTTCTGGCTACTATGGATTTTTACGACTCTATGAAACTGCTGAAAAAAGTGAAATTTTCGACACACACTCTCTAAAAATTAGTGAGAAACTGATTTATGATGGCTCCATAGCTGCCGCTTCATCTAAAGAAGTAAGTGATACTAGTTTATTCCGTACATTTATGAACATGTTACATAAATTTTTCAGCTTCCGGGCTTCCAATTTTTCGGAACATTTGCGAAACACTCTAAGAAGCATGCTAACAGTCTATTGGATGTAAACCACGCGTTCAAAGGAGTTCCATGCTATTTTTTACGAGGTATGATGCGTTTCCAATGATACTAATTTTCATGTTGAACAGCTTCCAAAAATATAGCTAAGGGGGATCAGATATTATGTGATTATCGACACGATGATAGGAAATTTAACGACAACAAGGAACCCTCTCCCTCTATCAATTTCTGTCCTTGCGAATCCTGTTATATCCCTCAACAAGCTCAGGCTAACAAGTTTAATAAGGTACTATGTTTATGTTGTGCGATGAAATAATTGTGACATTCAGCCCACGCTTCACTACACTCCACAGCAGTATGAGGTAACCAATTCTATAGAGGACTCTACACCGTCTCTCATTAATGCTCATTCTGATCGTCTAAGTTTGAGACCTCGCCCAACTAAACAGTATGAATGAACTCAATCATATTAACTCTATGTCTTTTCAGCTCTCGGTATGAGCCATGCACACTTCGCTATACTCCGCAGCAGTATGAGGTAGCCAGTTCTATAGAGGAATCTGCACCGTCTCTCATTAATGCTCATTCTGATCGTCTGAGTTTGAGACCTCATCCAACTAAACGGTATGAATGTACTCAATCATATTAACTCTTTGTCTTTTCAGCTCTCGGTATGAGCCATGCACACTTCGCTATACTCCACAGCAGTATGAGGTAGCCAGTTCTATAGAGGAATCTACACCGTCTCTCATTCATGCTTATTCTGATCGTCTGAGTCTGAGACCTCATCCAACTAAACAGTATGAATGAACTCAATCATATTAACTCTTTGTCTTTTCAGCTCTCAATATGATCCATGCACAGTTCGCTACACTCCACAGCAGTATGAGGTAACCAATTCGAATGATGACGCTGCCCCGCCTCTCATTCATGCTTATTCTGATCGCCTGAGTTTGAGACCTCGCCCAACTAAACAGTATGAATGAACTCAATCATATTAACTCTTTGTCTTTCCAGCTCTCAGTATGATCCATGCACACTTCGCTATACTCCGCAGCAGTATGAGGTAGCCAGTTCTATAGAGGAATCTGCACCGTCTCTCATTAATGCTTATTCTGATCGTCTGAGTATGAGACCTCACCCAACTAAACGGTATGAATGAACTCAATCATATTAACTCTTTGTCTTTCCAGCTCTCAGTATGAGCCATGCACAGTTCGCTACACTCCACAGCAGTATGAGGTAACCAATTCGAATGATGACGCTGCCCCGCCTCTCATTAATGCCGATCCTGTGCAGGGCTCGTTCCCATATCACGACCATGACGACGACGAATTCTTTGATGAAGATAATCTCGTAACCGACGACGTAAATAAGAACATCGAAAATTTGCCGTCGCAATTCATGACGGTAGATGCGGGACAAGGTCTGCGTGAAAATGATTACCAGGTGAACAATATCATCGACAATCCCCAAACTCAATGATGTGTTTGCGCTAACATAAAACATATAAGGTTCCATATTCTTCTCTAACTCTTAACATTTTCGGTGTATACAGCCTCCCTCACTTCCTGATTTGACGGTACATGTCTTTTTCTTCCTGTTTCTCTCTTTTCTCCCGTTAATCTTCCAACTCGTAGATTGTTAATGAGCACAAGATAAACCTCCTTTAACTTGGATAATAAAACATTATATTGTATATTGTTAGAATGTGGAAAACACCAACGAGGCTATATGTAAACTGACTCATATCCTTTTAAAATTTGCGGTGATAGGTGCTCGGGTCAGCTACAAACAGAAGTATGAACGAATTGAATAAAAATGAATAGTATTGAAAAAAAGATACAGAGCTCATCATTGTGAAGTCGATGCAACAGTTATATTGACTCGCAAGGTGACAACTGAACTGGCAAAGGTTACATTCCCTGTAATTCAAACCAACGTTCATGAGGAGGTAGTATTTATGTATGGATGAGGATTATGTTGTTATAGTTGCTTTATTAATGATACACTTCACCACAATTCATCTCACACGCCGGTTCAAACTATCAATAATATTATCGACACCTAGTACAGTCCATCTCCGGTTAGAGCAGCAAATACTTTTCCGCCGTGTACGAGCGGATGCTTCTGCTGCCACCCAACTTGAGCCTATTTGTGGTGAAGCACTCGTCCAATTATTGACCGTTTATTAGAATATGGAATGATGTTCGAAGAAAAGGATAGGAATGGTGATCGACCTATAGAAACAGCCATTA